AAAAAGATAAACAAACAACTTATTTTAAAGCAAATCAAAATGAATCTACCTTAAACATTGCACCTTACTGCACAGCACATGCTCAGAATTTCATGACTGCATTTGTTCTCAAAGCAAATAAAACATTTAAAAGTTCATTTGTATGTGCATGTGTGGAGTATATTACAATAGCTCCAAGCCTGTCCCAGCCCATCAGACTTTAGAACAAGACCTACACACCCCTGCTAGTACTGACAGCCATAGCAATATTTCAGAAAATCCTGATTGGGGCTGTAACAGCAGAAGTTAATTCCCCTGTGCATTCAAGTTACAGGTCAGGCCAATGAGGTGTTTTGACAAGTGATGTTGGTGGAGGGGAGTGAGGAGGGGGGATTGTCTGTTGGTGTCATGACCAAATGACCCTTGCTCATGTTAATGCAGTTAACAGACTAAACATCACACCCACATTCTCTTCCTAAACATGCCTGGACCTGCAAGTTGTCAATCACCAGGTTCATTCAATAAAGTGGTATAGGGTCTACTGTCAAAGTACTATTTCTCAGCAAACAAGAGAATACAAAGATTAAAGACTTTTTATCAGCGCATTGAAAATATATCACTGGCACAGTACAGAAGTGAACAACAAGTGATGTTAAAATTGTAATCCTATCATTACTTTTCTAGGCAGACAATCTTGAATAACTGCCTAGTTACTAAAACAACTGTAGTAAGAAAGGTGTGAAGAGTCAAAACATTCATTATCTTTACCAACTACACATAATAGTTATTAACAATAGCTGTAAACAGTTATGTCTCAAGGTACAGGTCTTCAGCATTAGAATAAATTACCTTGGTTTTTACTTTATCTAGGTGTAGTGCAGGCATGTCAAACTGGGGACCTTCCAGGCCAAAGTGTTGCAGAGATTAGCGTTTACCCCATCTAATTCAGTTTATGAAGGCCTTGCTAATTAGCTAATGAGTTGAATCATGCGTGTTTACTGAGGCAGTGTGCTGTTTTCTGCAGTGTTTTGGCTTGTGAGGACTGGAGCCTGACAAATGTAGTCTAGTGCCTTTCGGTTATAGATAGTAGGAGTCTTATACTGTGCATAGTTACCTTAGTGCTGACAGACTGACATCATAGACAAGACATTCAGTTAGTAGCTCACTTACACAAGAGGAATGCTCTCTCTGTGCCAAGTACATTATATGTCCAAAAGTAACCAGACGATCCCTCTAATTATTGAATTTGGCTACTTTAGGGTGCACCCACTGCTAACACAGGCATTCAGCTGCACACACACAGCTTGTATAATCTCTAGGGAAAAGCATTGCCAAAAGAATGGGACACTCTAGAACAGCCGTATATGAGCCTAAGGTCACCCTGACCAATGTCAAGTATTGACAAAAGACGCCCAGAACCCCCCAGCACTATGGAGCAGTGAACCTGCGTTCTCTGGAGTGATAGTGCTCCATCCAGTACCTTTGGGATGATCTTGTGGCTGAATGTAGTCAAATCCTCACAGCAATCATCCATCATGTGTAAAGCCTTCCCATAAGAGTAGGGGCTGTTACTGCAGCAAAAGGGAGACAAAGTCTCTATTAAAACCCTTAAGTTTGTATAAACTTTTGGACATAGTGTATCTACAAACTTATCAAATTCTTTTCCCTATGGTATGAGTGTGGTACACTGTAGATGGTTACCCATACAATAAAAAAATCTCCCCCAAATCTCTAATAACTTTCCTTTGGCATTATTTACATGCCACTGAAGAGCGAAGAGTGGAGTTTCTCAATACACTTTGGAACTGAAATTTGTTAGGCTCAAGTCTTTTCAACATACTTTTGGTCTAAAACAAAATAATAAACCTCAAAGGTCAGAGGTGGAGATCACAAAGCAGTGCAGATGCTGTCACCAGCAAAACAGAATGAAATTAAACACAGAAAATGAATCAGAAACTACATGTTAATGACCAAAATGTAACTAAGTGAAAAGTAGATTCCTCACAAATATACTTGAGTAGAAGTAAAAATATAATTGGAGAGTATTCAAGCAAATCCATCAACTAATTACTACCCACCACCGACTATATGACATACTTTTATCCATTTAAATGAACAAACAGGCAACATTGAGTGTCCAGTATGGCTGCTGCTACTGCCTTAGCTATGAGATACACCTATGTTTATTTTTTTTTATAACCTCTCAGAGTTCCATCTGCTTTCTTGGGGTTGAAGTGCAGCTTTTCAGCTTCAGAAAGCAATTCCCACACTGATAACAGTGTCTAATCAACTGCTAGCGATAGTATCTCTTACAGCATCTGCTGACGTGGACGTCTCTGTAACAAGGAATGAAATAAGACTCTGGGTTACTCCCAACTTATACAGTTCTGTGAAAGCTAGCATGTGATCCTTACTGTGAGACAGAGAAAGCCAAAATGATCAACTGGCAGGTGCTCAGATGTCTACTTAAAATGGTTAACATAGAATATAGATAATATAAAGATACAGTACATCCAAACATCATATTACACTCTTACAACATAAATCACAAAGAACTCAAGATACAGAATTTCAACATGCCATCATTAAGATTACAGTCATATAGGATAATCCCATAATCATTTCAGATTGGAATGTATTCAAACCTTCTAGACTAAACAAGCTAGAATTCAGCCTTAAGAATTAATTTGTTTTCATTATTTAGTTTTCATTTTGGGTTATTATAATGTGCTGTAAACTCTTTTGTAGTCTTCCTGGTACACCCACACACCTACAAAAATTAAAGGTGTTGTTTTTTGTGCAAAGTAGTTGGAAAAAAACAACCACAGATCCCAGTGATTTCTTAAACTTTTTCACTCACGTGCATGCAAGTCATTGAGCTATTGAGCAACATCAAAATTTCAGGCATGTGGCTCAGTATTACCGAATGGTCTCAAAACACGTGCAGTGACTTCAATGACTGGTATAAAAAGTATGCAGAGATGTGAAAGCAGAAACCAGACAGGAGGATATAATCTCATATTGCATATGGAAGACCCTCAGTAGTGAGCAGAGGACATTACTCGAAGATATATAATTTTCAAGGTACATCCATTCCTGATTATATGTCTAAATAAAATGTGGGTATACAGAAATAACTCTAAATTGACTTGTCAATGAAAGCGTTTCAAAAATCAGGTTCAGGTATATCAACCACATACTGTGTAATTTAGAGTAGCACAGTAGATTAGTCACCTGTGTTCCACATTGCTTAATAAACATGTGTTATCTGGCTCAGGTAACCACAGCAGGTGCTGGTGCAGGCAGCAGGTAAAGCCCTATGTGTGCTGTTCTCAGGTAATCCCCTTTAGACCCCATGGATGGGCCTGTAACCAGAGACAGAGCACATCTGAACAAACAAAAACACTCTGCACAGTGAGGTCTCAGCCTGGGACTGCTCTACCTGCGGGAGATCTCAGCTACGACTCCATGGGCCAGTTTTCCACCTCCAAGATTCTCAGTGTAGAATCAGTCCTCCATCACAAATGAATAGAAAATAAGTGACAATTATGTTTACGTAGATGTTTTACAGCTACTAAGATTATATTCAAAAGATTACAAGCAAGGAACAGCATTAACAAAGCACTATGATTTTTATTTTAAAAATTACCAACTATCAAAATATTTGGCCATTTTAGGTTTCCAAAAGTTATCAGAACACATATAATAGACATGAAATAGTTTGCTGCATAAAGTATAGAAGAAATCTGACAGCATGGCTAGTTTGAGAATGGTATTTAAATTTCTGTAGGGTTTTCATGTGCCAAACCGATAAGATTATTATTATTATCAAGGAACACCCAAAGTGATGACCTTTTACCATACAGGTACTGCCTTGCATATGCAAAAAAAGGTGATATTTCCGGCATCTTCATGAGTAATAGGCCTTAGTCTGAACTGTCAGCAAGTAAAACATGATGCACTTCAGTCAATTCAGACCTCACTTAAGTTAGCATACAGTGAATAGATCCGGTTCAGACACTGAAAACTCTGTAAAGTTCCAAGACATCTGTCAAAATCTTAGTTAAAACCTAATTTTACAACTTTGAATTGTGTAAGCATGCTTATACACTGAATAGATATATACCTTTTCTCCACAGTTAATTTTTTCCTGATCTAACTAAATAAACCACATCCTGATCAGAATTGGCCAAAATGGAAAAAACAGAAAATTCTAAGATCAGCATTTTAGTAGGAAATGTTGTTCATTCAATTTGAGTGGTGTATCAGGCGGTAAAGCCACAGGTTTTCTGTGTCTTATGACTGCAGAAAGCCATTGTTTAAGCATTTTGAATGCTTTCTTAACCTTCTTCTCACAGCAATAACAGGACCAAAAACCATTCTCTCTCAAAAGAGATGAAAAAGTTTTAAATTGCCCAATGTTGAAATTTGACTACGTTCCATATTAACCGGCTTTGATGTACTTCACAGCATACGCTGTTAACAAATAATCCAAAAGTAAGTCCAAAGGTAGCAGCACTTTCAAACCTAACACATATTTACTCTAAGGATTGGGGCATACTGACCCAAATGCTCCAATAAACAACCTACTAATGTTACCAGTAGGGTTTAGCATGTCTAAAACAACTGTTAGGTCAATTTTACCAGTGTGTACCTGGAATAACATTCAAAAGATCTCCCAACAGACACAATGTGCTTTGAGCTTAAAAAGAAACACTAAGGCTGAATGAACTACAGTTGCAGGCTAGCACTGTCCCTAAGGTTACAGTTTGTGGTGACTAGAGAAAGCTGGAGGGTAGCAAGGGTCCTAAAGCCCCAATGTGCATGTTTGCCAGGAAGTTATAATAGCTTAGCATCCCTAGATCAGTGTGTGAATCAACACGACATAGGAACACCAATATCATTTTGTTTGGGGAAAGGGGTTGAAAATCAACTCTAACCTTTCCTGGCATGAGTTATTCGCTCTCGCAGTCCAAATGTTTCTAAGCCACGACTAGAAAAGGAACAGAGTCTGCAATTTCTTCATACCTTGAAAACAATTTTAATGAACAAACTTGAAAGATCACTCCATAAAATCCCTCTTTAAGAGGCTGGTGACTTCTTTAACAACTTTAAAAATTCACTATCACTATATTTTTGTCCTTTAGTAGTTTAGTAGTAATCTGTCAGTTGGGAACCAGATTATAGCTCATATTGAGTCATAGTTATTCAAACAAAATCCGATAGAGGTCTCTGAGCAACTTTGGGTGTTCAGTACACACCTGATGCAATAAACTATAATGCTTACTAATTATGAAGTGGCACATAAAATGTTCAGAAGACAAAAAAAAAGGCCTTTCATATAATTCCAGAAGGTATATTATAAATCATTTTAGGGACAGATGCATTTATTGGATTATCTGTCCTTTCTACAAATCCATTTTTGTACAAGGGTGAAAACAGTCAATTTGGTGAATATCACATCTGATCAACAACTAAATTAGAAAGAAATAAGAGCACCAAAGTGTTTGTACAATGGGAAAATTCTAAACATTTATGTTATTTATCTACTTTTCTATTCTAAACAACCTCAGACAAGTACGGAGATAATGAACAGAAATAATTTAAGCTACATGTAAACTCCTTGAGCTTATTTCTCAGCTCCTTTTTGTGCAGGAGCAGGGACAAATCTATCAGAGAAAATCATCTGCTAAGTCATTGTCTCACATTATGCATTTGTGTAATTGAACAACTGTGCAGTAGACTGGTAAGACATAAATTATGTGGTCCACATTCTGAGCTTCATCTGAAAAGCAGGTTAACCATCAGCTCATTTACAATTTAGTTTTCCAACAAAGATGATGACTTGTACATATTAGAGTTTAAATGCAAATAATCCACTTTACAGTCCGACATTATGAATGAAATACAGCAAATGGGTTGTGATTAAGGAGTGTTTCTAATAAAGATTTTAATATAAAAATAAATTCCGTTTTCTCATAAAAAGTATGACAAGTGCCTAAGCCACTTATGTAACCAAAAATATTTTTGCTTTTACAAGTGTCCTCTTGATAAGTCCAGTCTTCTCATAATGCTCTTTCTTTGAAAATTAAAAAAAAGTCCACAGTTCCTTCACAAGGTCCACTGAACTTATCTTGTCAAAAAGACAAGTCCTGCTCCAACACCTGCCGCAGTAATCAAGGCCATTAATGCGTTCCTCATTTTCGACTCAGGATCCGGAACATGAAAAAACTCCACAAAGCCATCCTGAATGAGGGGGGAAAAAGCAAGTCAACAACAGCCTGTTCATATGGCAGTTTAATTTAAAAAAAAGAAAAAATTCCAAACAACCAGGAAATGCAGGATCACAGAACCGATCTGCATTGTTTCACAATCTCTCAGCACAGAAAAGTCACACTGAGTCAGTGACTATGTCTATGGAAATGCCTAAGCCTGTATTGTATACACAAGGTGAGGTGGTGAACTAAGGAGTGTCCTCTGCATTTTTTCCCTCCATATGATACAGAAGCAGAGCAATCTAATGAATCTTTTCCAAAGGATATTTAACATTACAGAATGCCAGAGAAACTTACCCATGCTTTATTTTTCAGTAGCCAGTCTTTTTGGTCTAAAAGAAGATATGAGGAAATCTCTTGGCCCACAAGACTCACGCAGTGACCTCGGCCCATCTGGTTCTGGTGTTGGCACACCACTGCCCCAAAGGCCAGCAGACTGGCGATGCGACCCCAGTTGGTGATGCCATCGCTGAAGAGCTCCTTAGCTACTGTCCTAATTATATGCATGTCATCTCCTCGGTCTTCCATACCCAGCCTAGTAAGCATACCTGAGTGGTAGCAGAACAAGCAATACACATTTTTTTTTGTATACACAATAATTTGTATTTGTGAATGTGTGTATTTTATATATATATATATATATACACACACACACACTCACACACACACACACACATATATGTATATATATATATATATATATATATATATATATATATATATATATATATATATACATACACACACACACACACACACATACACATAAAATATACACACAATGAAATTTTATATGCATAAAAACACACCATGTAAAGATAATGTAAAAATACATTAAGCACATAAGCGCACACCCACAAGCTACTGCACTTCCTGGTATTGCCAGTTAGGCTGCGTAGGGCCTTAACTACAAACCAGAATTGCTCGTTGATCTTTAAACTGTACCTTTGTAGACGAGCTCATGCTTCACCACCAGGCCGTCCACCACCCGCCTCATTGTCTGTACAACCTCACTGTGCCGACCATAGGACGGAGACAGCCCGGTGAAGTTCTGCAAAAAGTCACTGACGATATCTGAAGTGTCTCTGTCCAAAGTTTCATATTCCTTGAAGTGCTCTGCGTCTAACTCCTCGCAATCCGACGCGGGGGACGTTGGCAGAGAACCGTCTCTAACAGCAGCGGTCCTGGGCGCCCGGGTTTCAGACGATATACCCAGAGTAAGAGGTCGCTTAGCCAACAGAGAAGGAAGAACAGTCTTCTTACCCAAACACATCTCCTGCGGACTCAACATCATCTTGACGATAAATTTTGCTTAATGCTAACCTTACCGATCGAACCGACGCTACCGACGACGCGTTAACAAACCCGCGGTGTTTAGCTAACCTAGCTACATTTCTAAAGCTATTACTGTTTTGTTATTTGTCCCCTAAGGAACCCGACATGACTCAGTCTTTCGCAAAAACTAAAGCGGAAGTGTTGGAGGGACTAGGCCGATTTATAACAAGGGGGAGGGTCTAAGCGGCTGTCCTTCCTCACTAAGCAAGCTAGTTATAAACAGCACGTAAGCAGCGTAGCGCACATATCGAACCAGCTCGAGCTGGGTTACTTGTGTTCTCAAGACTATTGGCTGAAAGCCTCGTTTTACACGTAAATACCCGTGGAAGACGTGGATTGACGCACAAACTCAGCATAACACGACCGTGTCCTCAAACTTAGAGTAGGCTGTGCATACATGATGCTGCTTTTCAGCTGTTCAAGGAAAACAAGCCCTAAACACACGCAGAAACAAATAAATACCTTATGTGCAATGTAGATTGATGTTAGGCAATAAACATAAAATGGACTGTATTTTCCTTCCAGTAAAGTCAAATAAAGAAACAGCTACAGTTGATCTTTGTGTTTATATTTGGGTATATTTGAATATTGCACTAGGTGGGGCTACTTGGAACAGCTTGCTCATGAGTGAACTTTCCTTTTCGTGAATGTTTCCTATAATTTGTTTACCTTTCAACCACATTTAAGCGGAGTGGTGCAACCTTTGACTGTCGCGCCCTCTAGTGGCACTTACATACACCCACACTCTGGTTTCCAGCCTTATCAGCTATGTCGTTCCCTTTAGAGCAGTGTTCACACATTATGCTTCTCGAGTACCCCTGGAATGTGCACTGCAGGCCGAGGGAGACTGCAGGAGCAAGGCTGAGAAATACTGCTGTAGAGGCAAACATGCAAGGGTGTATAAAAATTATTCCATGTCAGCTGAATCAGCTACCCATAGCATGCTGACCTCAGACCAACATCAACCAGTAGTTTGGGTTGTCTTTGATTATGCTTTTTATGTCAAAACTGTTTAAGAACAGTACTTATTTTTTCTTCATGAAAAATAGTAATGTTTGAGAAATTTTAGTGCACAACCGCAGTACTTCCGAGAACAAGTGACTGCAGACATGAGTCTTAAAATACAGACATGAGTCTGCAGACTGAGAGCTGCTTTTGATACAACTGACTGCAATTCACCACTTCTACTAAAAGCATTCTACTTCTGCAAAACATTACTTAAAGTGATTCCTTACCATGGAGACAGAAGATAAGAATTTAACCAGTCTCCGCCTCTGAAGATAGAAAACGAGCAAAAATTGTTAATGTTGTGTCTCAGTGGTTTGGAGAGGAAGTAGGTGTCAAGTCCTTGGCTACAAGACAGACTTTACTAGATGGGGAGATGTTGATAACACTGCATATGTTTGATGTCCCTCATAATCTGATCCTTTGAACATTTTTGTCTTTTTTTTTCCTTTTCTACTTATTATTCTACCTGTGGGTCTCCCCATAGATCATCGGCATATAAAATATTTCTATGCTGAATACGCTAAAAACTACTTTGAATAAACACTCTGTGTCCATTTTATTAGAAACACTTACCTGTAGGTGCACCTTGCTGTTCTAGTTAGAGATTGAAGCCCATCTGTTCATGAACGGCCATCTAGCTCATCAATGGTCAGTTTCTGGCTGCTTTTGACTGGACATTTTTGCATAGTGGACCACTCTCAGCCCAACAGCCTGACCATGAGAAATGGTGTAGAGGTCACTGACAAATTGTGTAGACAGCAGTCTGAGCTTGTCAGCCTTCTCCTATACAGTGAACATATAACTTAGCATGAGGTAGGTGTTTCCTTGAATGGAAGCACAAGGTAGGTGTTTCTAATCAATTGTGAATGTACACAACCTCATAAAATCAAATAAGGAAAAGAGTTTCCAAGCCATTCTCTGAGCAAATATACTCTACAAGTAGGCTAATATTAGTTAAATGTTTTGGTACACAGAGTATATGAAGATTTCAAAGCACTTTTAAAAATAATATCATAGTATTTCAAGACATTTTCAAAATACATCATAAGGAACACCATATTTACAATAATATTGCTTTTCTGAGGTTGATAAATTGGAATAGAGAAAAAAGAACAAGTAGAACCACCATTTAAAAATACTATCAAAAACTACATTTCACATACTGCACTGTACAAAATCCAGTTCACCATCATTATTCAGTTGTGTGTGCTCTCATGCAGTTGGGCAGTATTCTTTAAGCACTGACAATATTCAAGATATGCTCAGAAAAGTGTAGTGACATAACTTGACATAATTTAACGATAAAGATCACGCATGCCCAGCAATTCTATGCTTGAATTTAAATGAAAATTTATTAAAAATCATCATTTTAGCTCATTTGCCTGTTTTTTACTGCCTTACAGAATGAAGAATGTTTTGTTTAATGTATGACAAACTTTCATATTCTTCATGCGTGTGCAGGCTAAAGAGGAACATGTGCTTGAACATCTTTATATATTTGCTTGTAAAATGTTTAGCATGTATGACAAACAATGGAAATCACTATGAAATCCTCCTAAATCTTATGCACTTCATTGATCCTACAAGGGAAATTTTGCACCCAGATTGTATTGTAAGCACTAAGAAACTTACACCCCCTTAAGCAGACAATTTAGTCACTGAGGTCAGTCAAAGAACCTTCAACATGTACTAAAGAAACTAGCGCTACGCACGTTAACACACTCAAATAAGACCAAATCATGTCAATGTAAAACTTTATTTCAGATTCAGGCAAAAATGTTCAGTTCTTCGCCCACAACCTTTCAGAACCTGTTTAATTTCATTAGTTTATGACACTTTTCCACACCTCATCACTTGTCTCTTTTCTTTTAATTCTGTGTTATTTCATCAAGAGCAAACCCAAAAATCATGTGCAGTCTTCTTAAATCATAAACACACAGGCGTATGGTGCATGCATGTCTTTTTGTGCATGTAAAGCACTGAATACACTGATACTCAAAGTTAACATCAGTATTGGTACTCCAAAATGTCCAAGCAGTGTGAGAGGCAATTCACATTAAAGCTGCAGTGAGGTGAAATTCTATGTTCAAAAGCATTAAGAGGTTTTAACAAATCAGATAAAATATTTGCATGAGAGTTCTTCTTGTTTCTAAAAGCAGTTTTTCCCAAAGAAAATTACATGGCCATTTCCTATAAAATTCCCACACAAATGAAAATAAAATAAAATGCTATGAAACCAGATTATAGATACGAATTGTTTGTGATGATAATAATGATAGTATACACCATCTGGACTTTTTCCTTAAGCGTTCTAGTCAAGAGAATATGCCTTACATCTGTAATCCAACCTATTCTTCAAAAAAATAGAACAAAACAAAAACATTACAAATATTCTTATTAATAGAAAGAAAATTGTACAGAGGAAAACACACTAGTTAACTGCAGAAATAAAGAAAAAAAGAGAATAAACATGGTTATGAGATAAAAACAAAATACTGACACGTTCAGGAAGGGCCCCACAGAAAACAAGGTGCCATGAAAATAAATGATCAAAATGATACGTGGTTTTGTTTTATGCATGAACACTCACACAAACAAAAAGACAGACTTCCAGTTCATGATTTCACCTGCATGGTGATCCATATTATCCATGTTAGAGTTTATTGCGGACACTTCCGTCACATTTGCGTGCAGAAAAGAACAGAAATTTGTATATGTGTATTTTTGTATCTTGGCCACAATGTAATTGGAGAAACTGGGCTTGCTACACTACAAGCTTACCCAGGATAAAATCATTATTAATAGCGGTTATATGTATGCCCTAAACTACAGTTTTCCAGTTAAGCAAAACTGCAATATTGACACTTTGCAATTTTGTTACTTGCAACATTTTTTGCAGGGTAGTTCAGACCAGGATGTGATGGGCAGATTTCACATCAATGGAAATGATGCAATAAAAACATAAATATGAGGTCAGTGCAGTGGGTCAGTATAATAAGGTACCTAAAGTGATACCTTTTATAACAATGGGGGCAAAAAAAAAAGTTTACAGACATACAGAGTGATCAGCAAAGGGCACATGCATTTCATGTGGGTCCCAAATTACAAATATTAAAATAAAAGCACTGTCTATTTACAATTTGGGAGCAGCTAATAGAGGATATGGTACAATGTACATAATTCAAATAAACACAACATTCAGACTTAAACAACCACTCAAGAAAGCGTACCTTTCGTCCTGCAAGTTTCCTTCCTCCACCACATTAACAGCAACAACAAACTTACGTGTGACAATTATAACATTCATCGCCTTTCTTGTGGGTGTGAGGAGCATGAAACTTTTACAAAGAATCCCACTTCTTATGCAGATGATGAATATAACTATGTTGTTAAAGTGTGTTCTTCCCTGAATATATACTGAATGTATGTACAATGAGATCTTATGTTCTTGAAGATTACTTGATGATTTACCCCATACGTGAGAAATGATTCAAAGAGGGTTTTAAACTAGAGTTAAGGGAATGCAATATAATAAGAGTTAAGGGAATAATATCCTGCCCTCTGGTTTAGGTGTATTTTAGTATTTAATTAAGTCCAAATTAAGATTTCTTTCATCAAGATCTGAACTCAGACTTTGGTGTCCCATAGAGCAAAAGCTAGGTTACAGCTAAAAATCTCCTCCCTCATTTAACTTATTCCTGGTTGGAAATCTACACATGTAAACGCCAGGATAACGAGTTTTATGCCGACAGTTCTTAGCTGGATACAGCCATTCAGTTAAATTACTCAAAATCATCACATACAATTTCTCATCCTGCCTGTGTAGCCTCTTAGTTTCTCAGTTCAACACATAACTACTTTGCTGTTAATTCCTGGCCTGTTCCATACTGCAGAGAAAAAAAACAAATAATTTACAATAGTATTTATGGTCAATAAGTATATCAATGCCCAAGCTAAATGAGCCTGAGCTATTCCACATATCCATTCAGTACAAGGCTACATGGTTTTGCTAAACCATGTGAAATCAGGTGCCCTGAAGCTTCAGGAACATATTCAGGTTTGTGCTGGGTCAGTTCCTTAATTTAAGCACTTTTGATTATCATGGCACATAAATATACATTTTGCTCTACTCCCATAATAACTTTAGCCCATTGATGTGCAGATAGATGTTAGTAACTTAAAATTGTAAGCACAAACATTATATCATCAGATCAGAATGAACAATTACAGAGGTTGCCAACATGCATTTGGTGCCAAATCTACATGATTTCTACAAGCTATTACAAAACAATCGTAAGCTGATTATAACAAAGAACAAAGAGAATCGTCTCCATGAACTTGTAAATGACATTGGTATACTGATTAGGCATCTAACTAGAATTTCTGTAGTCTCCACGGTTTTGAACAAAGAGTTTGATCTCATTCATGTAGAGGGTAAGTAGATCATAAAGTGCATTATAGTCCAGAGAGGCCGCTCACCTTGACTGGCCCTTCACTGAACTGATTGCTCCCTACCCAGATGTGTGGGGCTGGGTCAGTGAGGGGGGCAGAGGGTGGTGGATCAGGCTAGAGCTGTTGAGATGGAAGAGGAGGTTAACCTAAGCCTTACAACCCCAAATATAAAGCAAATAGTGCGCAACTAACCCCGGTGGAGCTTGGAAGCTGAGGAGAGAAGGTTGGGGACGGGGTCACTCAAGACCTGAGGTAGTGATTAGCCAACCAGTTTGCTTGTGACTAAAGAGGACTTTCTCTGCGGCAAGTCTTGCGGAGTTGGAATGTGGTCTCCGGTGACGATACTCTTTTCTGGACCAGTCGCTGCTGGCAACTGCTTGTTCTTCATCTTTGCCTTGGCCATGTTGTAGTCCCCTGAATCAAAGTACTTTTGCTGAAAAGGGGGTAAAAAAAGAACGATGATGAATTTGCATTGATGGCTTTATTAGCACTGAACGCTCATTTGAAGAACAAAGGAGTGCAGCATGCTCCATACAGACACCTACTCCTTTCTGAAGTCTTTTCATCAAGAAGTCTGATCCTCCTGGCTTTTGGCCTAAGTTAGGATACTTGGCTTTTAGTTTGGCCTCCTCTGTCTTCACAGGATTTGAGTTAGGGTCTTGAGATTCCTGTAGACAGAAACATGTCATAGTGCATTATGACTGTCACGAGACAAAAAAGAACAAGAACAAATAAAAACAATGCGTAGGTGTTCCCAACGTGAAGAAACCGTGAATACCACACCCATATCATAACCTACAATACAACTGTTCTTTGAACCTGTTTATATACTTCCACCTCTTATTTGCTGAAGATGTGGTTATAATTTTGTATTATACTGCAATAAAAGATCAAACCAGAAACAGAGCTTATCTAAGACCACATGTACAAGCCTAAAAATATGATCATACTCATAACATAGAGGTTAGTCAGACAGTGAGTAATACAGATGTTCCATGCAGAAACTGAATTTGCACTGTCACTCCAGGGTCACTTTGACATTTCGTACCCCCATGCTCCTCATGTTTAGTGTAAACGGAGGCTGAAGAGTGAAGACTGTCCTAGGAAAGCCTTTTAAATCCTTTAAAATTTTTAAGGAGTTCAGGAGTTATGGTTTCGGAGACAGAAGGTCATCATTTTATATTTTAGTCTTTTTTTAAATACTCGTCATGAAAGATTACGGAATTAATATTTATGCACTAATTTATGCAAAATTACATTTTATGATTTTGGTTTACAATGATGTTAAGGAAAGATCCTTAACTATCAGCAGAAACACTCACTTCATTTACTTGACGGACGTCATCTGCCTGAATGCTTACAGAGATCCATGACTCTACATGTCGGATTTCCACATCCATCAGCAACTATGCATGCCAGGATACTATTAAAGTGTCTATGGATTAATTCATTGAAAAGAAGCATAAGGTAGTGCCACTGACAGATTTACTGCACCATTTCTAGCTGTTACCTTCTTCGTAGGGTCATTCTTTCAATAGTCCCAGTTGATTTACAACAGTCAAGGGCAAAATGTCTTTAATAAACCTGTCGTAGTTAGTTACATCTACTTGTATTATTAACACTACGTGCAAGTTTCTCTTGGGGCAGTGAGTCATAAGTCAGTTTCTAAAAGGTTTTTAAAAGGCATGACAAACACATGGTTTATGAGGTTCATCAGTGACAGAGCAAAGCTGTGAGACCTAAAGCAGAAACCAGTACACCAGACAAACAGGTTTCAAAGTATCCACCTGGATGACAAGAGTAAGTGAACTGATGTGCTACACCCTGGTAAATTTTTGTCCTGCTTACATTTTATAACAAAAGCAGATTAATGCACATATGCCAGCTCCATGTGTACACACTTAGAATTTACAGGTAATATGGACACTATACTTCCAAAAGTATCTAGACACCCCTTCTAATTAGTGAATTCAGCTACTTTAAGATGTTGACACAATTGCATAATTTATATAAACAAAGCTTTGCTAATAGAATGGGACACTCTGGAGCAGCTGCACATGAGCCCGAAGGCATCATGTCCTACACTAAGCACTGGCTAGAGGGGTATAAATTCCCCCAACATTGGGCTGGGAAGCAGCGGACATGTGTTCTCTGGAATGATAGAGCTCCATGCAATACATTTGGGATGAGCTGGAGTGGAGTTTGTGATCAAGAACTAACCAGCGAACATCAGTACCTGCCCTAATGCTCGTGGCTGAATACAATCTAATCCTCACAGCAAAGTTCCAACATCTAGTGTAAAGCATGAATAAAAGCTATTATTGCAAAAAAAAAGGGGGCAGACCACAATTAATAACCTTGATCTTGGAAGAAACATTGACCCAGCAAGTGTCTACACACTTTTGGACATATAAACCCTGGGATTTCCAGGGCTCAGTGAAGCGACATACTGGGTTCACACCCTCAGGGGCTATGAAGGGATAGATAACACCGAGTGTGCTGATTCACTTGAATCCATGACAAGAAATTTATGAGTGGCTATATTCAGCACCAACTAGAAAAGCAGCTGCATGGGCAGCCTCTCTCTACGTGTGGCTTCAGCCAGTTTTACCTAGACTCAGTCGGGTTTGTCAGTGAACGGTGCATCTTGACACAGGAGCCTGACGTCTATTTTACATAGTCTCCTAAACATATAACCTACTCGTGCAGAGTTCTGTTACAAAACTACCCAGACAGTAACTTACATATATGTGGTCAACTGTACCACCTCTGCTTCACACGCTTACGCATGAACTTAATAAGGCCCATTACGACCTAACGTTCACAAAATATAATGCATTCTTCTTTTCAACAGAAGACAGTTTTAACATTATACAGCTATTTGCAGTAGAGTCACTGATTGTAGCTAGCTAGTGAAATTATCTTTAGTCAGTGATCTGTTAGGCACTGCAGCCGAGAATGAACCAATGCGTACAACGACACTGTTGACATGAGCTCAACCCACGGAGCTGGCGAAGCTGGACCAGTCAAAATAAAGGCTTATTTGTTGCTTTATCATAACCATACGGACACCACCTAGCTAAATTCATCTTCCAGAGGTCAGGGGCCTATATGGGGCCCCCTATTTTTGACAGTGTGAGTCTCTCAGGTAGCTACAGGGCGTTTCAACCAGTGTAGCTAGCACGCTAGCATAGCCATGGTAGCCGTTTGCTAGAAAACACTGTAAGGGCTTCATGCTAGTCCGTCAAACCAAGCTAAAGCTATGTCCTCAATTCAATCCGCCCACCTGTGTCTCACCACACTGCTCCGATAACGTCTCGGTATCCTGGTTAACCGATGACATTGCTGGTCGACCTTGAAAGAAAGAAATAAAAATGCGAGCTCTGCGAGGGATAATCGCAGCTTTTCCAGTCTGGTTCGCCCGCCCACGGACTGTGTGCGCTAACGCCAGAGAGGAACTAGCCTCAGCTCTTAGCTCCCCACTGACGCTGCATTCAAGCGCTTATCAGAAGCTCGTATTCTCTGGTTGTCAAATTCAAGTCGGGAATGTATGCCTTTTTTCTTTAAAAACACCGTTTAACCTGTCGTTATTTCACTCGTTCACTATTGCATATTATTCATATGCCTTTATATGCATATACTCGTTCACTATTGCATATTACCATAATTACTTATGACAAATATCTGCAGTAATAAGGTTTCTACAGGATCCTTTAAAAAATAACCTTGGTTCTTCAATGGTTATCCAGCAAATGTATATATATAGAACCATAAATACTCAAAAAAAGTCAAATTGCTCTTCTCTATGACAGAAAACCAGCTGTACATGGTCCTTTTTTCTAACCAGAACAGTTCTATATAGCACCAAATAGGGTTTCAGTCTCGTTACAACTTAAATAACCTCTTTTCAGTATACATAGAACCCTTCTTGTATAGTAGGATACTACTTAAGTATTACAGATTACAATAAAACAATACTAAAGATTATAGATTAATTATCATACAGCAATATAGAAATCTAGTTTCTTGTAGTATGACTGTAGATCAAAGCCTTTATCAAGACTTTAAATGGTGATTTAAACTGAATTTAACTTTCAAATTATTTTTTAATTGCTTTATTTATGCATCTTTATTTATACATCTTTATTTATACAAGTTGCTTTGCTATTCCCAAAGAGCTGCAGCCAACAAATGAATTCATGTTAATATGAGAGACCCACAAGATGACAAGGTGAGGATTTTTTTTTAAATGGGTGGCTTTATTTGAGGCTTATGTTTCTTTGTAGTAATTACCAGAAGACAGCCAAGCAGTGTGGCACTTTGCACAGATCACTCTGCTACCAACATCATAGGTTTAAAACTCAGAGTGAAGCCTTCATCAAGACGTCTAATGCTCAACTTTAACTTTAACATCTTTTGCTTTATCTATGCAAGGTAAAGTCTTTTTGCTATTCCCGAAGAGATGCTGACAGGAAGCAAGTGAACTATATTGCAGCCCCTCTTGAAAAGCTTGGCAGTAAGTGCCTTGAGAAGAAGAACACTCTCTATATCTTCTAAATGCTTTCTCTCTTTCAACAGTCTTTTTAATGTATTCTATCCTATTTTGACTCAGTACCAATCACTTTTTAATCAGTTCTCAGTCATAATTTGCTTCCCTGTGATGCACTGCCACTGAATAATTCAAACTGAAACTTCTGAAGGCATTTTTGTGATATGCCACCCTTGCTTTAAATAAACAACTGATACATAATTAAACAATTAAACAAATTGAACAAAGATAGATAGATAGATAGATAGATAGATAGATAGATAGATAGATAGATAGATAGATAGAAACTTAAGTACCAAGAATGTTTTGGTCTAAAATGAAATGATAAACCTCAAAAGTCAAAAGGTGTGACCAATTGCAAAGCAGTACAGATGTTGTCACCAACATGATGCAATAAGTAAAAAGTAGATTTCTTTCCTCACAAATATACTAGAGCCAAAAGAATTATCACTTGAGTACTCAGGAAAATACAAATGCCTCAAAATTGTACGCGACTACATTTACTGACTACCCACTTATCAGATGCACTGAAATATATTTACAACATTTTTGACCCCCTAATAGAATTCAAATAAGGGTGGTTAACGGTTATGAACACGAAATAAGTTAACGGTACATTGAAATGCTGTAAATTACTGAGCATAAATCGTTACAGTTTGGGAAAGAGTAATTTCATCTTCTGTGAAAATAAGGTCTGCGAGAGAGAAAAATGCCGAGATGGCGGGGGATCTTTGGAAAAGAGCTTTCACAGAGGTCTGTATAGCTTCTCTGATCTTAAACTCATTGCGTACCAACACGCAACCGTCAGATGAAGTGTAGATCAGGGTATCTGCTCCCACTGAAAACTCGCCGGCGCTCGACTCGCTCCAGCGACAGAGAGTGCGAGTTTGGCGGGAACCTCGACCAAACGGCTACCGAATACACATACCAGAAAATAAAACATTAATATTCATAGGTAAAACGAATATATTTATGAAATATATATTTCACACAGACATAGAACTGATTAGCTGGTCGTTAAAATGACCGCTTTTGCCGCCTAACCGTTCTTGTTAGCTAACGTTAGTTTGCTAACTTAGCTAGCTAGCTAGTTAAGATGGCATTACCTGACTTGGGTTAAATTAGCAATCAGCCAGCTAACGTTAACGTTAGCTACATATCCCCAGCTAACTAGGTATGGCAGCTAGTTAAGTCATAGGAAATTACACGATCTTGTCAGAAAATTCAGGTTGGATTTACCTCACGTAGCTAAGGAACCATCTAGCTAGCTACTATGTCAGGAATTATGGTTAAGTATAAGTTTCATAAACCTGCCATATGATGCCTATTGCTAGGCATAGTTAGCCCGCTAATGCTAATGACTTTACAGAGCATTATCTAGCTCTTTGCCTTTGTTTAGCATTGCATTAGATCATGGATAAGGCAGTATTTTAGCTACATATGCTGTTTTTTTTCTTTTCCAGAGAGACCTAGGAAACTTTTTTCATCAGAGAGACCTAAAGGACAGCTGTCCCAGTCATGGCCTGTGAGCAGCGATTACGCACTACTCATGTAAGCTTAAGTTAATGTTGCTGAAATATATCTAGACAGCTCAAAGTTTTTTTCTTAACTTGTCTGCCTCACTGCTGAAAAAGCCAGCTAACTTAAAGTTTATTTTCAGGGTTCTTCTCAGATGCTGCCACGTGTAGTAGCCACAGAGCAGCAGTCACTGGTAGTTGTTAAGAAACTCCTAGCAATTGCTGTATCCAGCATTACATACTTGCGAGGTCTTTTCCCAGAAAAAGCTTATGGGAGCAAATACGTTGAGGGTAAGACTTGATACAGTTAGGTATTTAATATAGATTATGTAAGATTTATAATAATGTTACATAGTTTTCACTTAACATATAACCTTGTGTCCTTTCCTGTCACCCCCACAGAACAGAAAGTGATGATTCTTAGAGAAGAGCGAACTTGCCCTGGTGCTAGCCAGATTGTGCAGTGGTCAGTATTTGGAAACATTCAAGAGACTGAAAAGCTAAAGCCGTTCAAAAGAAAAATGATTTCATGTTGTCAATATGCAGAACCCACGAGACGAGATACTGGGGATTTTTTTTTAAATCAGTTACTTTTTTTTTTACAGTTCTTTTTTTAACATTTCTATGATTGAAAAATTAGCATATTTATCAAATATTTAGTCCAGCCCTAGTTAGTGTGGCAAGAGAGGGGGATTAGGTGTAACACAGCCTTACGGCAGTATGAACGCTGTTTGTCATATTGTTGTCCTCTACAGGATGGAGTAGGGGTGTTGGTGTCGGCAGAAAGACTACCTGTAAAAAAACGTAAATTGCCTCTGAAAAACAGGACATTAAGAAAATTACCCACCATGCACGCTTTTGGGCCTGATATTAACATGTTAGCACTTAAGCAAAGAAAACTGACAAGGTGATAACTGCCTCATAAGAGCACAGCATTTTAAAAAGACTGAAATGACTCTCGCTCACTCTGATATACAGGTTGCAAGGATGCTTTGATGCTCTACAGAAGAGATATGTGAGTCAGTCATTACTTTTAAATAGACATACTGGAAATCACATCAAGTTCATGTATGTCTTTTTTGCCAGTCAAGTAACTTGTTTAAATTTTTTCCATTTCCATTTTTATTCCAGCTACGTATGGCTTTATTATCTGTGAGTACATTTGACGAAATAAATTCTCAGAATATTTAATACTCATGACAGTGTAGTAACCTGCATGATCTAAAAAGCACATAATGAATTGTTCCAGTGCAGACTTGCATTTTATTATTATTCTAATCTAATATATTGGATTATGATTCTGTGCTTATGTTTTCCTAGATTTACTCTGATCCAGAATTCCCACAGGTACGGAAACAGCTTTTGGAATTGTTTTTGGAATTGTCTTTACGAGTGTGATGTTATCATCTTTGTTGTGTAAATAAGTTAAAGATAGTGAATGACAGTTAAGATTTATACCATCAATAAAAACAATAACAGCAGAGTCGTAACGTACATCCTGGATGGCCCTGCAGAGGTGAATGTTTTCCCTCTTGTGACTTTCTAAACTTAACTCATGAAGGCCTTGCTATTAAGTGTTTAATGGGGTAGATGGCTAAACTCTACAGCGATGTGGCCCTTCACATATAGAGTGATAGAGTGATCTTTTCTATCAATTGATGAATAGAATTACATGTTCCTCATTTCAGAAGTTAACAGAGTGCTACCAGTTCAGAATCCAGTACACTGAAAAGGGTCCTCGGCTGGATTTTGGAAGGTGATCATTCAAATAATTTAGAATTGTTTTTCGGTTCTAAGGTGAAACTGTACTACGTACTGCCAGTTAACATGAAAATATAGTATCTATACATTATGTGACTGATACTAAGATGCAGTACATTTTCCCTGTTGAAAATGTGCTGTCCTTATATTGCCAGCAAAAGCCAGAAGCGTGTGACTAAGATGGACTGCAGCGACATAAAGAAAGCAAGTATTCTGCTTGTGCGTAAACTGTACACACTAATGCAGAACCTCGGCCCACTCCCTGACAGCGTTTGTCTCAACATGAAGCTCTCCTACTACGATGAAGGTAGTAACCCACGTGCACAAAAATGAAAACAAAATTAAATACAGAGGAACATGCTCAAATCACATTCTTCTCCTGAGTTGTTAGTATTGCTTTTTTCTAAGTATCAGGGAATTAAATGATATCTCTTTACTTGCTGACAGTGACTCCCCAAGACTACCACCCACCAGGCTTTAAGGAGGGTGACAATGACACACTGATGTTTGAGAAAGAGCCAGTCAATCTTACCATGGGAGAAGTTGTTACACCTTTCCACACCCTCAAAGTGGATGTCACCACTGAGAGAGAAAGACTTGAACAGGTGCTATTCGAAGTTCTATAATGTATAGTGACAGGT